ATGGTCTGCCTCTTTATGTGATTTCACATTGACTGTTGTCTCCGAGCCATCAATAAGTTATTATATTTATTTTATATTTGCTTACTGTGTCCTAGCTTCTTGTTTTGTTTTGTTTTGATATGCCCAAATAGGCTGCTCATGTGAACTAGTTTGATTATTGGCACCTTTGAAGCTGTAACATCCTGTCACCAGGTAGTTAGATCTGTTACTAGGTATGTCAGCCCAGGAGTGTGTTTACTTTTCTTGTATGGATTCAGCTCAGGTGTCCAGGCAGTCGGTCACCAATTGTGTGGTGCAGGCTCTCACCTGCAGTCCTAGACAGGTAGGGGTGATTGGTGTAGGCACAGGTTATCTGGCTGCAGTAGGCAGTCACACACTGAACAAGGCAGGGGGCTGATGGCTGCCCCTGAGTGTCTGGGAGGAAAGCGTGTCCCTAGAGTGCGTAGGTGGGTAGGTTTTGCAGCTGGACTATGGGCACCCAGTGCTGTTGGCTGTAAGGATTGGGAGGCACCACTTATTCTTGGATCCCTGTTGCGTGTGGCTAGGTGGCATGGGTGAAGCCACCAATCCTCAGGCCCCTGATGGTGGTCAGTGAAGACCCTGCTTAATGGGCAGAGTGGTGTCAAATTTCATGAACCTGCCACTGCACTGTATAGCTGATACAGTTGATGTTAGGCTTCAGGTAATATACCTGTACTATGCTAATGAGGGCCTACGCTGTTGAAATTGGCCCACACAGGTCTATGCAGGGGTGAAAGGCATTCAAAGTCCATGGACCCCTTATGCCTGTGCCTAGACAAAGAAGCTGTGCCTACCTTGAGTTCCCAGCTTAGAGGAGCTGGCAGCTTATTTTTTCCTGTTTGTTAATTTGTTCCCTCTCCAAGGCCAGGAGAATGGCTTAGGGCACGTTATGGGTTCTACTTCTGGCCCAGGGGACGTGGCAGTGGCTGAAGCCAGCTGGGACCTGGTGCAGAGCAAGGAGGGGGCAAGTATATGGGAGAGAGGTTTTTCCCAAAGAGTTTGTGCCATAGGTTAGACACATGTACTTATCTTTTGCCAATTGAGCGCCGCTTTTCACTGGTTCTGTAGGCTTGAGTAGACTTTCCGCCTCTGGGTCTCTCCTGATGTGGAAAACACGTCCCAAGCACCACTGCTTGCCTCACCATGCACGCCAGCCAGTCTGGCCTGCAGGATGCCAATTCCCGCCAAGTCAGGTCTGGCAACTCCTCACTGCTTCTGAACCATCTCTCCCTCCTCCTGCTGCTCAGGGCTCCTAGATTGCCATATATAGTCAATTCACTTGATTTTTCAGGTCTTTCTTGTAAGAGGGACCACAGGAAGCATCTGACTACTCCGCCATCTTGGCCCTGCCTCAAGTAAAGATTAACTAAAAGCAATATTAATAAATAAAACTATTAGATAAAAAGATTAGTTTTTTTTTAAACAGAATACCTTGAAGTTTATTTATACATTAAGAGGCAGTGTTGCTTATTGATTAACAGTGAGGGCTCTAGAACAAAACTGAATCCTTGCTCCTCTACCTATCAGCTCTATGCCTCAATTTAATAGTATTAACTCATTAGGTTCTTAGAATCAGATGAGTTAATACATGTAAAAAACAATTATATCAGTTCAATCTCAAATGCTGTTAATAGACAATTTTCTTTACATTATGTTACAAGATTTTACGTTTGTTTATTAAAGTATAGTCTTTATTAAAGACTGTTTATCAGTCTTATACTTTTCAATTGTTTCTAAATATTTAGATTTTTCTTAGCTCTGCATGAATGTAATTTAAGTATAATTTTAAGTTTTCATAAATGTTATTGATCTTATTCTTTTTTCTGATTTAATGTACATATGTAATACCATAAGTCGCAACTAAATTATACATTTTACAGATACTCAAAATATTAATAGATCAATGTTTTAATATACAATATGTTGATA